AACCTCCAGTCCTGGATGGGGTCATACTCTCCTCTAAGGACTGAGTTCCTCTAAGGACTGAGTTCACAGCCTGGAGGTGTTCCTCAATCCATCACTTCAGATGATAAATCAGGTAAATGCGATGGTCAGGAATGCCTGTTAACAGCTTCGGCTGATATGCCAGCTGCTCCCTTTCCTGGAAGTTAAGGACCTTGAAACTGTGGTGCATGTGCTGGTAACCTCTTGTCTTGATTTCTGTAATGCACTCTACATAGGGCTACCTTCATACTTGGTCCAGAAACTTCAACTAGTACAGAATATGGCTTTTGCATTACGCAGAGGGGCGGGATAATAATAATAACAACAACAACAACAACAACAACATTAGATTAGATTATCGCACAAGCATAAAAATGTGACTTACATTTCCCAAATTCAAGTAAAATTCGGGCTGCATTCAGGTCCGATTGCATGGCTTTTGTTGCCAAATCCGCCATCCAAATTCAGCCCAAGTGCAGCCCTGAGCCAGGCTACACTCTGGCTGCATTTCAATGGTGGATTTGGCAACAGGACCCAGATGCAGCCTGAATTTTATTTGAATTTGGGAGAGGTAAGCTGCATTTTTATGCTTGTGCAATAATCTCCCTAGTTTCAAGATGGTTTCTACTTAAAACTACATCCACTATCTGTATTGCTGACAAGATCATCACAGGAAGCTGCAGTTCTTAAGCACTACTGCAAGATCATCACAACACAGCCTGAGATCCTATTTTGGAGCAGTATTATAGAACAGAGGTAGGCAACCTTTTTGAGCCAGGGGCCGGGTTGCTGTCCCTCAGACAATTGGGGGGCCGAAGCACCAAAAATAAATAAATAAATAAATATTTTTTAAAAATTTAAAAATATGCATGCACACTCTTTCAGTCCCAGAAAAGCCATGGTAAAACCCCTGTGGAGATTTTGCCATGAAAAACCCAAGAACAAGTAATAACAACAATAATCAATATCATCATGGCGGGCGGTGGCGGGGGGCTGTGGTGGAGGGCCGCCGTGGCAGGACCGGCCTAGGGCCGGTCCAAAGGCCTCAGGGGGTTGCATGCAGCCCCCAGGCCTTAGGTTGCCTACCCCTGTTATAGAATAAAATTTTATAAGCAAGAGACGAGTTGGCAGAATGCATTCTTGCTCTGTTCTAAGCTGGAGGGCTGATTATTTCATATGCTAATTTTTTTAAAAAAATTATTGCAGTTTTCAAACTTTAAAATTAACACATAGTACAAAACATACAAGGTTAACAAATTAACATACATACATAAATCAACATACATACGCACCTTCATACATAATAATTAAATTTCTTTGTTGCTCAGTGTTCCCTAAACTTCAAAATAACTTCCTTACTGATTGTAATCACTTTAATCTGCATACATTACTTGAGTTTCTTTTTTAAATTGATCATGAAGGTCTCTATACTTATTGTCTTTACTTGTATGATTATACTAATTATTTTCAGTCTTGTCTCATCCCTATAACCTTACTCAAATACAATATAACCCAAAGGTTTCCATGACTTGTAACTTGTATTAACTATACATGAATTAATTTTTCCTCATTATAGCTATTTATCTCAATTACCCTTATTTTCCAAGTTTAACCCTCATTTTACCGAATACTTGTTAACAAATCCCCGCTTTTCTTCTATTTCTTTTCCTGATTTTCCCCGCACAAGGGCTAAGATGTCCATGTCCATAGCTTCTTTTAATTCCAGCAACCACTCATCTTCTGCCGACATATGCTAAATTTTTAAATGGATGATATGAAGTCCACTACAGAGCTTAGAAAAATTACTCTTAGGGCCTAGAACTCTCAGAATCCCTGAGATGATGGCTGGGGGATTCTGGGAATTGTTGTCCAAAAACATTTTCCAAGCGCTGATTCTCATGGGCCTCATCCCCACTTACAAATGAATTGGTTTGCGATCTGAATCGATGGATCGGTTCGACAGCGGTACGCGGGTCACACTACATTTGCCCTGATCACATTTTCTTGCTGTAAAATAACCCACTTGTGGTTCACATTGATGAATGAATCAATCCAAAATGGACCCGCTTTAGCTGGCCGAAGAGCAAATTTAAATTGATTCCGATCCGCATCTGGTTTATCGGTTTATTTGGCAACAAATAATTGATTTATCAAAAAAAGACGCGGAAAAAAACCAGCATCAAAAAGATGTGCATTAAATGGGTCTAGCGCATGGCCCCCTTCTCCAAACCGCTTCAGCGATTCGGTTCAAGTGCGAACCAGGGTCATTTAAACTGCTTCAAATTGGTTTGCAAACCGGTTTAAAACATAATGGGAATGAGGCCATAGTCAAGAAACAGACGTTTTTGCATTTGTGCACCAAGAAAAGCACACACTTTATTAATGCCACTGCATGGATACTGGGTAAAGGAATATCCAGGAATACAGTAAACAAATGGTCAATTGCACATATGCGCATGCAGAGCATAGAAAACTGTCTCATGTCCAAGCATGCTGTGTGCATGAGCACAAAGCAGGGTGCACAGCATGTGCGGTTAATTTGCGTGGGTCAGGCTAGCCAGAAGAGCTTGGCTCAGGCTTGGCGTATTGTCTTTGATTTCCGTACTGAATGGGCCATGGGGAAAAAAGGGTGGCAGGGGAAACAGCTGCCCCTGGCTACTGCAGGGAGCCATCGCGCCAGATCTGTTCCCACGGCCTGTTGCCCTTCCTGTTAGTGCAGCTTTTGGGGAGATGCCAGGAGACCATTGGAAGAAACTCTCAGAAATTATGCTGGAGGAGGGAAGAGGGGGAAAGAGGAGAGATGCACTAGAACAACATCTCCAAGACAGAAATCTTGTAAGCACTGCCTCTTCTTCCTCCTCCAGGCAATTGGCCAGTGCGCTTGCCTTGCACAGCTGCGGCCAAAGAGAGCCCAAGTGTTCACTTCTCCCTTCCTGGTTTCTTCCACCTTGAATCGACTCCAGATTTGGAGTTATAATCTGAATGGGACGGAGTGTTGTTGGAGCAGCAATTGTTCCAGTTCTGCAGGGACTTTGTTGTTGTTGTGTGCCTTCAAGTTGTTTTTGACTTATGGCAACACTAAGATGAACCTATCATCAAGTTTTCTTGGCAAGATTTTTTCAGAGGAGGGTGGCCATTGCCTTCCCCTGAGGCTGAGAGTATGTGACTTGCCCAAGTTCAGCCAGTGGGTTTCATGGCCAAGCAGGGGATCGAATCCTAGTCTCCAGATTTCTAGTCCAATGCTCAAACCACTATGTCATGCTGGCTCCTATAGGCCCAATTAATCTTCTGCCATCCCACTTTTTCAACTGCTTTTAAAATGTTCCAGGTTCTTTCAGCTCCTCCCACTTTCTCTCTTTATCCTCAGTTTATTTCAATTTCTGAAAATGTACAAAAGTAATTTCAACTCAATGAACTAAGCAGCCAGGAGTGGGGAGGGGATAAAAGATTGCTCCTTTCAGTAGAATCAGACAAAAGCAATCTGCTGCAGCTTATCCTACCTTGTGTGCTCTTCTACATTAATAACTATTGCCATCTTGACTACACTCTAATGTTGGTTGGCCACATGTATTGTGGTTTTCATCATCCATGAGATCTTGGAGTGACCCATTGTGTGGACATGTCAGCCTTCTTGCCCCTAATCATCTTTCCTTCTATAGAAGCCATTTGCTGGAAGCAAGAGTTACTTTGGGAAGTTAAATACATTCATTAATCAATATGCAAGTCATGAGGAAAAAGTCCTAAACTTCAGAGCTCAGAGATCTCCATATGGCTAGCCACCGATAGTCCAAAGTTGCCCCTCCTGCCATGCCAACTATCCCAGGGATCTCCTCCCCATTGTTTCTTCCCCCACCCTCTCTATTTACCCTAAATCTCTTTAGATGTATTCAAACTGCACAATTGTAGCAGTTTAACTGCATGGTCCCATCTTAGGGATCCTGAGGTTTGGATATTCATGAAGTAGAATAATACAGATGGAAATAGTTAAAGATTTCCCATACCTTGGATCAAACAATAATCAGAACAGATACTGCAGTCAAGAAATCAGAAGAAGACTAGGAATGGGAAGGGCAGCTATGAAAGAAATGGGTAAGATCCTAAAGTGTAAAGATATACAACTGAGCACTAAGGTTAGAATCATCCAAGCTATTGTATTCCCCATCATCATATACGGATGCAAAAGCGGGGCAGTAAAGAAACAGGACAGGGGGGAAAATCAACTCATTTGAGATATGATGCTGGAGAAGAATGATGAGGATACTGTGGACAGCCAAAGAATCAAACAAATGGGTCCTAGAACAGATCAAGCCTGAAATCTCCCTGGAAGCCAAGATGATGAAACTGAGGCTGTCGTACTTTGGTCACATTATGAGAAGGCATGACTCACTGGAAAAGACAATGATGCTAGGAAAGGTGGAAGGTAGTAGAAAGGGAGGAAGACGGCAAGCCAGATGGATTGACTCAGTCAAGGAAGTCACCGGACTGAATTTGCAGGACGTGAGAACAATGGAGGACGGGGTGTGTGTCTTGGAGGTGTTTCATCCACAGAGTCACCATAAGTTGAGGGCAAAGCAAGGGCAGAGATGGAAGGAACTGCAAGGGTTATCTAGGCCATTCTATTGGGAATACACAACTACAACACTTCTCAGAAATGGCCATCCAACTTCTGTTTTAAAATCTCCAAAGAAGGCAAGTCCCCCACTCTCTTGAGGCAGCCTATTCCACTCTCAAACAACTCTTAAAGTAAAGTTTAAGGGGGAATCTCTTTTGAATCCATTGGTTTGTGTACCAGTCTCTGGAGCAGCAGAGAACAAGCTCTCTCCATCTTCTATGTGACATCCCTTCGGATATTTAAAGATGGTCATCATATCATTGCTCAGTCTTTTCTTCTCCAGTCTAAACATATGCAGCTCTCCAAATAATTCTTCCCAGGGCTTGGTTTCCAGATCTTTGATAATCTTGGTCACTATCCTCTGGACATGTTTCAGCTAGTCAATATCCTTCTTGAACTGTGATTCCAAAGCAGAATGGAGTGGTACTACTACTTTTCATAACCTGGAGGCTATAATCCTGTTGTTACAACCTAAAGTTACATTGTTGTGTTTTTTTGGCAGCCACATCATGCTTAGCTTTTGATCCACTAAAGAGATTATTGCACAAGCATAAAAACGCAACTTACCTCTCCCGAATTCAAGTAAAATTCAGACTGCATCCAGGTCCTATTGCATGGCTTTTGTCACCAAATCCGCCATCTGAATGCAGCCCGAGTGTAGCCTGGGTCACTTAACTCACTTTGCGGACATTTTTCAAAAGTCAGTCTTGAATTTGGGAGAGGTACGTCACGTTTTTATGCTTATGAGATAATCTCCTAAGACCCTTAGATCCTTTTCACATATACTGATTTCAACTTACGTATCAAGCCAGATATATCTGTGCATTTTATTTTTCCTGCCTAAATGTAGCATTTTGCATTTATCCCTGTTGAAATGAATTCTGTTAGTTTTTGGCCCAGTTCTCCAGTCTGACCCTATCCCCTGAGACATTAGCTACCCCCACTCCCCAAATTTGGTGCTATCTCAAAAATTGATAAGCACCCTTTGTAGCCCATCACCCAAGTCATTAATAATGAAACTAAGACAGAACTCTGGGGCACCCCACTAGCAACGTCTCTCTACAATGAAGAGGACCCATTTGTGATTATTCATTCTTTGCCAGAGGACTCTAAGATTGCAATTCAGAGGAGTGTATTAGAAAACTCTAAGAACCTCGTTGTCATCATTGTGTGAGGTCAAGTTGTTTCCGACTTATGGTGACCCTAAGACAAACTTATCATGGAGTTTTCTTGGCAAGATTTGTTCAGAGGAGGTTTGCCATTCTCTTCCCCTGAGGCTGGGAGTATGTGAATTGCCCATGGTCACCCAGTGGGTTTATTGCTGAGTCAGGATTTGAACCCTGGTCTCCAGAGTCATAGTCCAACGCTCAAATCACTTCACCATGCTAGCTCTTATATAGCAGTTCTTCTGCTATTGTAATATAAACCTACTCCGGTAAGGAGGACACATTCAGCCTTCTGTGGGTTTTGAAATTTTAAAAATCAAGAACACTTGATACAAATGGGGCACAGATGGCTCAAAAGCACCCCACATGTGAAAATACCACTCCACCATCAAATTAAATCCTGGTCTCCAGAGTAGTAGTCCAACACTCAAAGCACTATGCCACACTGGCTCTCTTCACCAAACTATAAATTCCAGGGTTCTACAGGACGGAGTCATGGCAGTTAAGGAGGAATCAATGAAGTATACTTGTGCAATGGGGATTTTTTTTAAGCCTTTGTTAGAAACTGTCCAAAGTTTCCAAGGGACTGTTTTAGATTTGTTAGCAGCCTTGAGTCCCTGTACTGGGAGGAAGGTGAGATATAAACATAATAATAATAATAATAATAATAATAATAATAATAATAATAATAGAGTGTGAACACAGCAAATACAGTACGTAGAGGAGCGGCTCTGGGCTGCCCTGGGAAGTGGCGGATCGGGGCCGTGGCTATTCCATGCCACAGCTCCAATCCTCTCATTTGCCACCCTGAAAAGAGTGGCAAAATGCTGCTCCTTGGCGGCAAAAGGCCACCCTAAGAACCAGCATGCGGAAGGGCATCCTGACGCTGCACGCTGTATGTAATGGCACATGGCGTCAAGACGGCGTCAGCGTGGGGTTGGGGTGGCCGGTGTGTGGCTCCCCCGCTCCAACTGTGTCTCCAGGCTCTATCTGAAATAAAGAAGTTAGCAGCATAAGCTTTCGTAGACTTCAGTCTACTTCCTCAGATGTATATACAGCAATTACAGTCAGCCTTCTGTATATATAGATTCTTTATCCATGGAACCAACAATCCATGGCTTTATTTTATTTTTTTTTTTAATTCTCAAAAGCAAACCTTGATTTTGCTCTTTTATGTAAGGGACACCATTTCACTATACCATTGTATTTGATGGTACTTGAGCATCCACAGACTTTGTTGTTCACAAGGGGTCCTGGCACCAAACCCCAGCAGATACCAAGTCCCACTGTATAAGAGTTCTAGCTGTGAATGATTTTCAGTGTCTCACCCTCTGCAATGCTAGAAAATTGGGATCTGAAGGAAAAAACCATTAGAGGGGCAGAATTCTTATTGGGATCAATGCTGGTGGGTTTGGTCAGGCTACGAAATAGTAACTTACCCAAGGTCATCAAGGTCAGTTCTTCTTCAGTTACCTGTACAGGAGGATTGACAGTTTTCTTCCTAGTGTACTGGGGAACAGCACCATAGTTGTGCCCAGTTGTTTCTTTCTCTCTTGGAAGCAATCCAGCAATAGGCAGCCTTTGACGTGTGGCTCAATATCAGTCCATAGACTACCATCTTTAGTAGCACTACTCTAGAAAGTTTCATGTGTGAATGGAGATTTCAACCCAGGTCTGCAGTCCTAGTCCAGCACTTTTACCAAACCATTGCACTAGCCCTATTTCTTTCATCAATACAGTCAGCCCTCTGTATCCATGGATCCTTTATCCATGGATTCAAGCATCCACGGCTTGAAAACATTTTAAAAATATATACAAATTCCTCAGATGTATGTAATTACAGTCAGCTTTCTGTATACACAAATTCTTTATCCATGGAACCAACAATCCACGGCTTTAATTTTTTAAAAAAATTCTCAAAAGCAAATCTTGATTTTGTCATGTTATGTAAGAGACACTATTTCACTACGCCATTGTATTTCATGGGACTTAAGTATCCATAGATTTGGATATCCTCTTGAGGTTCTGGAACTAAACCCCGGTGGATACCAAGGGCCCACTGTAACTTTAATAATATTGGCTAAGGGGATGAATTAATTTGGTTTTAAATGACATTTACCCTTCATTCTCCTCCAAGGGGTTCAAGGTATTATATGTGGTTTTCTCCTCCATGTCCTTCTGTCCTTATGCCAAGAGCTGAGCAGCTTTATATGTGATATCAAATAAACTTTTTCTCACTTGATCCCATTTCTTTACATCCTTAGAACTGGAAGTGAAAGAGTAAAAGCTTTCTTTCCCATGCGAATCCTAAAAATAATATGTAGCACATTCCAGCTTCCTCAAACAACAATCGCCAGAGGGCTGGCCTCTGTGGGAAAGGACAAATTTGTTTTTCCTGAGCAATATAAATAGAGTTCTTCCTCTAATAGGGACATTAAATTAGAAGTGGGGAAGGTGAGGGGGGCATGTGAGGAATGACAGTAATAGG